GTAAGGGGTCGGAAAAAGTATGTACTTGTAGCAGTAGATACCTTCTCGCATTGGCCGTCGGCGTATGTTTGTTCAAGCAATAAATCGAAAAATGTATTGAAGTTCCTAAGGAAGTACATAAATACTCATGGACACCCAAAAAAATTGCACATGGATCAAGCCACGTGGTGATGAAGCGCATATCGTAAAATTACAAGAGTGCTCAGATAAGTATTTTGTCTCTCCTATCGTCATTACAGTGAAAAAAGACGGAAGTATAAAATTAGCACTGGAATCAAGAAAATTGAACAAACAGGTACACAAGAATAAGTACCAAATGCCAAGTGTTGACGAATTAATAGACAGAGTAAGTCAGATTATCGCGAAAAAAAAATCGGGGAATGTATACTTTACAACACTGGATTTCACATAAGCGTACGGACAAGTCGCATTAGAACAAAAAACGAGCAGCAATGCAATTTCTCACTAGTCGGTGGTAAATCCACGGGGACTTATCGTTTTAAAAACGGATTTTATGGACTTACGTCAATGCCGGCGGAATTCCAGAAGGTAAATGATAATTTAATTAAGGAGTTCCCCCAAACTAACGCGTTTATTGATGATATCTTAATTGCTTCAAAAGGAGCTAAGATCGAACACATTGCGTTGGTGGAAAAAATATCGAAAAAGCTGGATGTCTCCAATGTCGCGTTGAAATTGCGAAGATGCAAATTTGCGAAAACGGAGTGCAAATGGCTCAGATGTCAAATTGGGGAAAGTGGTATCACGCCCTTAGTAAGAAAAACACAAGCAATAGAAGACTTGAAAACCCCAAAATCTTGAAAGCAGTTGAAATCTTTGATGGGTTCACTACACAGTTTACACAAATTTTAACCCAAACTCGCAGAATTAAGCGCACCGTTAAGGCCACTACTAAGTGAAAATAACGATTTTGTCTGGACACCCATTTGCGAAAATGCGTTCAAACAATTAAAATCGCTAGTGGAAAATATTGTCGAACTACGACACTTCGACATTCACCGTGAAACTAGAATTATTTGTGACGCTAGTCACGATGGCCTAGGGGCCGTTTTAGAACAGTATGGCGCATCCGGGTGGCACCCGATTTCGTTTGCATCCCGTTATCTTAATCCGGCTGAGAAAAAATACTCCACAAACGAATTAAAATTACTCGCGGTAGTGTGGGCCACGGAAGATTTTCGAAATTATATATACGGTCGGTATTTCACAGTCATATCTGACCATAAAGCGCTACTTACGTTGTTGAATTCGTCACCGAAAGGAAATATAACGTTTTTCAGTCGATTAACTCGATGGTATGATCGACTGGTGCCATACGACTTTAAAGTTGAACATAAACAAGGGTCGAAATTGGGGATGGCTGACTATTTGTCTCGGTTTCCGTCCGCAGAGGCACCCGAGACAAGTCATTACGATGAAAACTTTACAGTAGCAAAGATAAGAATGATAAACGCGGCGTTGAGGCCCAAGGATAAAATTAAGCCTAGGGGTCACGAAGTGAATAACATCAAGCCAAAACCGACGGTAGGGGGCGAACAGTCATGTTTCGACACAGCGAAATCAGTTTCATCCAATGAGAATGAAAGAAAAGACGAATATGCAAACATTCACCGTGAGCACGAACGCTCAATAGAGGGCGTGTTTACATGCAACCGGCAGTTAACCAATCAGCGTCGAGATATTTGCATACCGGCGGAAATATGCAAATACCGAAGAACGAGATTCAGACTTTGTTTTCATTGCTTAAATTACAGTTGCAAGCATAAAAAAATGATCAAATACTATCGCAATCCTTCCAGTTCAACTAATTACAACAGCAAGCCTTCTACGTTGAAAATTTACAGTTGCAAACCAACCATTTACAAGATTACAGTGAAGAGCCACTTACTTTGAAGATTTACAGTAGCAAAGATTACAGTGAAAAGCCATTTACTTTAAAAAATTACAGTAGCAAAACCCTAATTCGGAATATCTTGAGTAACTCAAAATATTTAAAAAAATGAGCAATTCGCCTGAGAAAATGATCCTCCAACTTCGGCTATAGTCAAAACATCAACTAATTTGGGAAATGTGAATCTAAACGTTGTACTGAACCGCCTAAATCAACCTCCTAGCGTTAGTTTGGATTCCGATATTGAAATGATACCACCCGAAAAACTTGATTTTAAACAGACTAATTCTAAAAAACTAAATACAATTATATCTTTTCCACACCAGTTCCCCGGTTTATCTTACCCACTTGTACAAAATGAAAATTGAATCTACTCTATAGTGCCATCGGATAGTAAAATAGTGAAGAAAATTGAACACCCGGAAGTGTTGAATTTGAAATTGTTTGAAGCAAACATTGAAAAAGACCCAATTATGAAAACCATCAGAGATAACATCAGAGACAAAAACCCACGAGCAAAGGAGTTTATTACAAGATTAGGACAATACTACGCCCACCATTACAACGATTTCGCAGTACGTGAGAATTGCCTGTGGATGGACGGCCGGTTAGCAATACCGAAGGATCTATCATCAGCAACACTGAACCGCCTACATTACAACCATCATGGGCGGGACAAAATGTTCGCTGCCGCAAAGGACGTGTGGATTCCCCTGATGCATCGAAATATCGCGGCCACAGCAAAATACTGCAAAAGTTGCTTAGAAGCAGGTAAAAACCTTAAACCGGAGATTCCGAAAAGTGACATGGGGGAAACGTATGTTCCTAAGGAACCAAATGATTTGGTCCAATTAGATTTCTGGGGTCCAGTAAATTATGTAAGGGGTCGGAAAAAGTTTGTACTTGTAGCAGTAGATACCTTCTCGCATTGGTCGTCGGCGTATGTTTGTTCAAGCAATAAATCAAAAAATGTATTGAAGTTCCTAAGGAAGTACATAAAAACTCATGGGGACCCAAGGAAATTGCACATGGATCAAGCCAAGTGGTTTTTCTCTAACGAATTTCAAAATTTCTGTAACTACGAAGGTATCGAACTTATTTAATCTCCGGTTAAGGATCATCGTGCGACAGGAATGGTTGAACGGACTATTGGGTGGATAAAAAATTACGTGTTGACTTATCTTCAGGAAAATAAAAACTACAAGTTTGGAGCAATGATATCCCGTGCGCTTAGTGCATTGCGTTTCGTGCCACATTCTAAAACAAAATAACGCCTTTCGAAGCATACCATGGCCGAGAAGCAAATACAGCACTTCGAAATTTAACAAAAAAGCCGTCATTGAAAAACTTAAATTGGAACAATGTTGTTAACCAAAAGTTATCTTGATTGGACAAGGCGGGAAACCTCCCGAAAGTTGAACTCACCCTAGATTGGGAGAAGAGAAGTGATTTAGTGCACGCCCCTCAAAATAGGAAAGCTCCAATCATTTTGGATGATGATGTGGTAGCGGATCCCAAGGCTCCGGAAGTTGTTGACCCCAAGGAACTAAGTCCACCCAAAACTCCAACATGGCTCAAAAAGCACAAAACAAGTTCCACGACCGTATATCAGAGGACCTGGAAGACGGATCCAAAGGACCCAAGAAGGTATAAACGTTTGCCATTGAAAATTGAAAAATTGACTAAGCATACGGTGCAAATGGAATAAGGGTCGTTACTAAGGCGGAGTGGTGTGTCTTTTAAATCGGCGGCTGAAGAAAGCCTAATTGAGAGTAGAAGCGAGGAGTGCACCCCAGGACCGAGTAGAAATGTACTTAGTACCCCGGCCCCAAGCGAATTCAACAAGTATAAGCGCAAAGCCGAGAAGGTCCGAACCGCAATGGAAAACGCAAGAAGATCGACGGAACAACGGATAGTGGTATACAGTGCGGACGAGAGCGAGGACGACGACGACGAAGATAGTGAGTGGGAAATCGAGCGAAGTGAACCAATTATAGGTGCGGCGAACGAAGGAAAGGATGTACCGTCGGTTAGGGAGAATTCACCACGATCCGTCGGTGGAAAACGAAATAAAAACCAGACGCGGAGTTGACAAAATGGGGGGTTATGATCCACCGAATAGAACACAAATGAGGAAACTGACAAGAAAAGAGAAAAATAAACCTTAAGAGAGGTTTGGCAAGTGAGAAAACTCAACGTAAACTAAAACTTAACTAGTACATTTATACAATACCAAATAGTAACAAAAAGTTGATAAATTTTATCTACGCTCTAAAATTTATTTGTGGTTGCCCGAATGAGATAGGGACCAGTTTTGAGTTTATGTAAGTGCTATCAATTGTTCTAGATAGACACCAGTTTGAGTTTTTGTAAGTGCTATCAATTCTTCTTTCTGTCTGGGACCTGTTGTCTTGACCTTGCGATCTCTAATGTCCGATGGGATCTGAAATAAAAGAGTGCAGTAAGATTTCGATTTGATGCCTAACAGTTTGTCTACAATACAACTTATTAACAACCTTTTTGATTTTCTACACTTACGACTTTAACAGTTTGATGAAAGGATGTGACTAAAAATTTTAGTTTAGGAATATTCGACAGTCATAGTAAAACTAGTAAATTGAACAAAAACAATTGTAGAAAGTTGACTAAAAAACCAAAAAACCAAAGACAAAATTTCTTTTTTTCTTCAAATTTTCAGAAACATTTTGAATGTTTTGAAGACTTTGGTTCCCAATAAAGCGCTAAAAACTACAACAACCATTTTTCCTTGCCCAAAACTAAGTTTCCAGGACTTAAATTAAGCATAAATTATTTGTTGTAAGCATGCTCGAATCACGACTGAAAGGGCTTAACTTTTGTATATCACTCGACCCAATCCGATTATCATTAGTGGTACCTGATTTTGGGGTTGAAAACAAACAGAAGAAAAAAACTAAAACACACCCGAATACAAAGTTTTCCTCCGTTTTTTCAAATGGTCAGAACAAAAATCGCATCTACATTTTCCTAGACATGAGCACCATATAGCCGTTCTCCGTTAGAAGCTGAAGAGACAAATTTTAGTATTCTTAGTATTCATCAATCTAACCTTGAATTGTCTAAAACGCCCAAATACTCTCTTGTCAAGAAAGAGTCAACCAAGTCAAATTTCAGAGTCTTTGTTGCCATGACGACGGAAAAGTCCGGATGATTGGTCCAGCAAGCTGCAATAGTCGAAATCGCGTCTATGTCTGAAACTTTCAAACCCTGAGAGGCGCTAGTTTGCTCTAAGAACTGGACAAAAATTGTTTCTGGTTCAAATCTAGGTGGGTTATCGTTGATATCCTGGACAAAGATCTTCAAATTACACGTTGAAGTTAGGGGAGTTGGCGAGTAATCTTCATCTGAAACTTCGAATATTAAACTGTACTGTTTTAATTCGCTTTCAAAATCCAAAATTGGGTTCATAAGTTCGAGACGACCATTGTCGCCAGTGTTTCCAGAGGCCCCGGTGAAAGGGTCAATTGCAAAAATGTCCCCAGCTGAGGAATACAGGAGCTTAAATTTCAAGGCATTTGTAATTCCTGAGGCAACGTAGTCATAATCGGTTACGTAATTATCCCGTTCCAGAATTGAAACCACCAATTTTGAAGCGTTTTCGTTGACTGGAATATTAAGCAAAGTACTGTCGCAAAATGGTGGATGTTCATTAATGTTTATGATTTCAATTGTAAATTCTAAACTTTGAAAATTGGTTCCATCACTGACTGAAATGATTATTTGGTCAAACTTTCCGTCCTCGTAATCAAATTCGGTTGCCAGGTAAAAATGCCCTGTATCGTGCGCCAAGAAATACTGAGGCTTAATAGGGTTTGACCGGTTACTCTTTACTGATTCAATCATGAATTCAAAAACTGTCGCTGAACTGTCCAGGTCGCTTGCTTGTATTTGCAGTAGCAACGAACCAATAGGCGTGTTTTCGGGGAAGCTCAAAATTGTCCCATTTCTCTGAACAATTTCAGGCGGATCATCATTTTGTTTTGTTACGACAACCGACACGAGGGCAGTCGATGACAATTGGTAACTCGGCTCGGCGTTGTCGGTTGCACGAATTAACAGCTTGTAGTTTGATTGGACGTCGGCATCAAGTGTTTCAGATAATGTAAGTTGGTTACCGTTCATGTAAAACAAATTATCGTGTTTTTCAGATATCATTTCATAATTAATGGTTCCATTATTTCCAGAGTCTCGGTCATAAGCGTAGAGGAGCTTAAGAACAGTACCAACTGTGACATTATCAATTACATTCACGACATAAGTCGCAGGGTTGAAAATGGGTCGATTGTCGTTTACGTCTAGTAAATTTATTGTCACGTTGATGACCGATGAAAGCGAATCAGAGCTGTTGATAACATTGTCAAAAACCCGAACTTCGAACCCGTATTTTCGCGGAAAGAAATCATAGTCAACACAACCGCCCAAAATTATTTCGCCCGTTCTTTTGTCGACATTGAAAATTTCCGAGCTGTCGTTGGCAGCATTGACCATTTCAAAGAAAATCTTTCCATGTGCTTGTGTTGGTCTGTCGCAATCGCTCGCTTGTAAAAAGAAGCTTAAGGGTCCTATCGAAGTATCTTCGGGGATACTTGTTTCATAAAAACCTGAAGGCGGCATAGAAAATTGAGGCGCGCATTCATTTTCAGGGAGAACTTGCAAATACAAATCTATATTAACACAGTTATTGCCAGTCAACACTTGTCCATCGCAGATTCTCAAAGTCAAATTATGATAGGTTTTCGTTTCATAGTCTAAAGATTTCACAAGTTCGATGTTCGAACCGGACATTTGGAAATTTTCATCTTGATTTCCAGCGTAGATTACATAACTGGAAAACGGAGGCTCTCCGACATCGGTGTCTGAACAGATAGTGTCAAGGTCGATTAATGTTAAGGGAACGGTTTGTAATTCGGAAAGTTCCAATGTTATATAATAGTCACATTCGGGCATTGAGTCAATTACATCATACACATTTATGGTGACCGTAGCGGTGGCACTTCTCCTCAAACTTTGTGAACGATCACGAGCTAGAACTTGAAGCTCAAAAACGGCTGGATTTGTCAATGGAATGAAACTATCAACATCAATACTGTTCAAAATTTTTAATTCACCACTTGAACTATCGATTTCAAATTTTCCAAGCCTGTTTCCGGAAATGATTGACAGATCAATGGAACCGTCTAGACCTGAATCTAAGTCGTCTGCTGACACCTGACAAGCTAAGTCTCCTACTAAAGCGTTTTCGGTAATATTGCATTCGTAATTAGTCAAAGAAAACATCGGGTCGAATTCGTTCACAGGGTCAATCGAGATCGTAAGTGAAATAGTTGTCGTATGAACTGCTCCAGAATCCGAAATGTGAATAACCAAAGTGTATTTCGAACTTGTTTCGTAATCTAGAGTCACCGCTGATTTCACTTTCAGTTCATTTCTGGTTACAGGGTCTAGCTCGAAATCATCCAACGGCGCTGTAGAAACGATTGAATAAACTCGGTTAGCTGCAGAATCGACGATGGTATCTTCATCGGAGCACACAACTGTGAGTAATGCTCCGTCGGCATTTGTGAAATTTTCAGGTATTTTTACCGTTTGGCCGGACGGATTACATACTGGCGGGTTGTCATTTATATCATTCAAATTTACGCTCAACATTGCAGATGTTTCTAGACCACCGCCATCTTTAACTGCAATTTCCAAGGCGTAGCTGCCAATACTTTCGCGGTCCAGAGTTTTTGCTGTTTTTATTTCCCCTGAAAACTCTTCAATTCGGTAATGCCCATCGGAATTTCCATTTGTAAAATAGAACCTCAAGTTTCCAAAATCATCGGAATCTGAATCGGTCGCAGTTGTGTTAAATATGGAGGTTCCAATCGCCAACGTCTCGTCAATGTTAATTCCAATCGGTAAGTTGGCCAGATTCGGAGCCACTTCATTGACATTTGTGATCTCAACATCTACAAAAATCTGAAGAGTAGAAAAACTACCCACGTTTCCATTGTTGTCCCTGAGGTTCAGAGTCACCGAGTAAGAGACATCAGTCAAAGCTTCGAAGTCAACAGGTCCGATGAAGCTTAAAGTCACGGTTGACCCGGTGGCACTTGCAGTTATCCACGCAACATTTGATGAAACGGAGTATGACGTCACGCCGATGTTGTTCATTGAACCTGTCGCGTCTCTTCCATTACAAGTGATTGTTCCTATTGTTCCAGAAGCCGACGCAGTTTCAGCTAGCTGGAAGAAAAAACTCTCTTCAGAAGCTCCACAAGTCATCTGCTCGTCATTTTCGTCCGTAACTACAATTGTGATTAGTTCAGTTGTTGAACTTAGAGGTGAACCCATGTCGCTTACAAGAACAGTCAATGAGAACGTTGTTGATGCCTCGTAATCAAGAACAGTCCTCGATTTTACAACCCCTGTCGTGTATCCAATTGAGAAGCTCGGATTTGTCGTTGTTATGGTGTATCGCAAAGTCCCATCTGGAGAATCACTGGCATCCGCGTCAGTTGCTGTAGCTGTTCCTACTGTTGTTCCGACCAAAGCCGACTCGCTTACACTGAAAATTGTGCCAGAAGCCCAAACCGGCGCAAACTCGTTTTCAGGAAGTACTTCAATGAATACAGTTGAAGTTCCAGTAAGTGCGGGAGTCCCGGAGTCCACTGCCAAAAGTCGGATCTCGTATGATCGAGATCCTAAATCATAATCCAAACCTAAGTCACCATTAATAGTCAAAGAACCAGCGCCGTACACAAAACTTGACGATTCAGTTCCTCCGTTAAAAGCCGGATCTATAGAAACTGTTAAAACATTGTTTGGGGCAGTCGCGTCGGCATCCGATGTAGTGATGGCAAGAGTCGAAATTGATGCTTCGGAAACAGAGATTGAATAGGCTGCACTCCCAAAATCAGGCGAGTTATCGTTGACGTCATTAACGGAAACTGCAACCGAAGCATCAGAATAACCAACAATACCGGGCGCTAGTCCTGCCTCGTTTTTGTCGATGTATGCTCTTACTGTTACCAAATACGTGTTTTTCAGCTCATAATCTAGTGATTTTGCTGTGTATAGTTTTCCATTTATCGGATCAATTGAGAACTCGGCGGAATTTACAAGCGTGTATACAATATTCACGCCTTCCGTTGTTGTTGTTACATCGCCGAGTAAGCTTCCCGCGTTCAAATTTTCATCAATGGTAAACGTGTAAGAACTAGGAGTGAAAACTGGATCGGATGAAACTGATTTGTTCACATATATACTCACGCCTACTGTTGTATTCAAAGCATTTGTCGGCTGATCTGTTAAAAGAATTTTTACATAATAGAAGTTCAAAATTGCGTAATCGAGAGATCCTCCACTGAAAGTCAATCGATTACCCGACATCGCAAAGCTTGGAGTACCGGAATACGACGCGTCGCTGTTGACTTCGGCAACTTGGTACCCAATCGAGCTACCATCCTCGGAATCCGAGCAGCTCAGAGTCGCAATGTTGCCCGAAGTTATACTTGGGTCGTCAAACACGACTGAAATCAAGTGATAGTCGTCACAAGTCGGATAAATATCGTTGATGTTTGTAATCGTTATTGTATAAGTCGTAGATGTTGATTTGTGTCCAGGCTCTGTGCCCAGATCCTTAGCAAAGATGTTGAGGATTACTTCATAAGGCCAAATCATTTCGTCATAGTTTAATTCTGCCGAGACAATAATTTTTCCCGATGCAGAAACTTCGAAATATTCATTCCTTGGCTCAATGTAGTATTCGATTACACCGTCTCCAGTCGTGGGAGAGTCGGCGTCTGTCGCTGAAACGACTGTCGACAACACGCTTCCGAGAGGCGTGTCTTCGGGTATCGTTTCGAAGTAAGGCGCGCTCACGAATATAGGGGAGAACTCGTTAATGGGCTTCAAGGTCACGCCAACATTGACAGTCGTAGAAAGAGGACTGAACGCCTGGTCAGTTGCCACAACTTGTAAGTTGTAGACTTTGGACACCGCCATATTGTCGAAGTCGAGTGACGTCATCGAGATAACACCAGTTGTCGGATCAATGGAAAAAACTGAGCTGAAGTCGTTGACCAATGAGAAACGTATTTGAGCGTTTACTCCCGAATCTTTATCTGTTGCCGATACAGTCAGCAAGTTGGGCGCCACCACGCTGTCGTATGCCATTACTGTATATGCATTCTGGTCAAAAATCGGGTAGTTATCATTTAGATCGTCAACAGAAATACTAACGGTACAAGTAACCGAGTTTCCGGCACCATCAACGGCGATAATATTAAAATCATAACTAGAAACCAACTCAGCGTCCAGTTTAGCTTTGTTAGTTATGATTCCAGTTTGATGATCGATTCGAAATTTGTCGAGGTGTTCGTAAATATAGTAAGTGTCTGAGTCTGGAGAGATTCCGTGAACATTCGTCAAATCGACCGCGTCGGTTGCTTGCACTTGCACAATAGCACTGTTGCTCAGAGTATTTTCGTCAATATTTGCAAAATACGCTAAAAAAGCAGAAAAATTATATTTTCCCATAATAACCAGTCCAAACCATTACCATAATAACTAGTCCAAAACCAGCACAGCTGTTTATGCGAGACGAGAATTAGGCTTACTTGTTGAGATGCATGTCGGAGATTGTTCATCCACTGGGTTTACAGTGACTGTTACATAACAGGGTAAACTATTCACTCCATCCGAAACAGTTGCTGTGGCCGAATGCGCACTAAGCACTTCAAAGTCCATCTAAGCAAACGGAAATTACGAGAAGAGATATTCTGATGACATGAGTTGTTTTTATACATGTATAGTTTTTCAAAAAGCATAAGCGAAATTTTTTTTAGTCAGTAAATAGTCCACTTAGGGTCGGTCAGGCAAAATGGATGTCTTGAAATAGTACCATTGGGGGACCCTCTGACGACCCAAAGGGTCCCACTGTGGTACTACCCTTTCGTAACACAGGGGGACCCTTTGGGTCCTCAGAGGGTCCCCCTATTTTACTTTTTCAAGAGATCCATTTTGCCTGACCAACCATGAATGGATTATTTACTAACTCAAAAAGAAGTTTGCGTAAGCTCATTGAAAAGTTTTACATGTATAAAGTTGTGAATTACGAAAAAGAGAAGCTCCTTAAGAATTCACAAAAAGTTTTTGACGCTATCTAGACTGCGGAAATTTTCCCTGAATTGATTGGCAGATATATAAAGACCAATAGTTTTTACCGTTACGGAATTATTAAAAGTATCAGATCTTGTTAATTATCCCCCTTTTGGTCTTTGTTAACTATCCCCCCCCCCTATGCATATATTATTTTTGACAGCAACTTCTGTATAATATAAGCATTTCAAAATGTCAACAATTAACTCAGTTTTCGTTTTGGCGCGTTCGTATTTGTTTTACTCACTCCTCTTCATGTAATACCTACGTAAAAAAATTTCCATTAAAAATATTTTCTGAAAAATGTTTTAAGCTATTGAAAATGTGATAGCCAAAATTGAATTTCTGAAAAACGAAATAGTGAGGGGGGATGGGAAATAGGTTACAATATTCAAAGTATCAAAATCAAATAAAAAAGAAACTACTTGAAACTCTTTTTTTTTAAATATCAAGCTGGACTGTTGCCAGCTGTTTTGCAGCAATGTTGCTAAATTTATCTGTTACCGTGTGACAAAAATGCTGAATCGGCTGGAAACATACTCTGCAAAAAAGCAATTTATTTTGAAGAAAACGAACTAAATATGCTCGGTGTGTTTTTTATTCAGTCAATTTTTGCCAATCGAAATGATAGCTTTCAACAAAAAAATTTTATACCCAATTGAAGATATCAACTTCCTGAGTTCAAAATTAAAAAGACAAATATCTCAGATGTTTCCTGTAAAGTTCTGGTGGTTTCAAGATTGCCAAATTGGCCATGTTCTGGACTAAATTGTGCGCGCTTTGAAGAGTTAGTTAGTGCTGAGATGAGTTAACTTGTCGAAAAGTTAGTTAAGAGTTAGTTAATGCTGAGAGCGTAACGCTAATTATTTTTACGTGGCGAATTTTCCCGCACAACAAAATCGTTCCTTATAAAAAGTACGAAAACTTTATCTAAACTAACTCAAATTAATTAAAAATTAAGAATTAGAGTTCAATTAAATTGTGTGTTAATTTTAACTAAAGCACAATAACACTGACGCTCGCTCACTCCGAAGGAGGTCACTTGCGGTAAATCAAGGTCATATAGACCAGTTAATCAAACATAGATGAATTGAGTAAGAGCGATCACAACAGATCCAAATTGAATTGAGGCTAGCTAGTTGGTTGTACTATTTTCGCACAGCCCAAAATTTCACACTTAGTTTTTGTCCAGAATTTCTATTTTTTCAACATTTTCTTTTCGCTAAAACTATACGATATGAACTAAAAGACAGTCGAAACATTCAGGCCCTTGCCTTGATACACGAGCAGTCTTGTTTAATTGTTTTCTCTGGCATTTAATTTTCTGGGGTGCAGCTCTTACTACCCGCGATGACACAAAATGTTAGCTAGTCATTCAATTTTCGTTTTCGGATTTGCGTATCAGACAAATCAATACCATTCCACAGAAGACAATTTTTTCATGAAAATAGCATGACTAGCATTTATTTCATTAGAAAAAAATTGTATGGTCAGTAAATTTTCCACCGATGGAATCACATGCCTAGCTTTTGTTCAGCCATGCCAAGTAAGTGAAGCCCTTGAATTATACTCGGTATTATAACATTAAAAACATAATTCGTTTGTATATGGATATAAAGCAACACCATTTCAAATAACTCAGAGTTTGAAAATTAAGCCCTCTTTTCAGGGCTTATTAAAGTTATGTTATTATTTAAAAACAAAAAAAAATATTCAGTGAAAATTTTCATTTTAATTTTTGATTCTCTGTGTAAAAAAACTGTGCCTTTTCGCTGGACGATAGAACTGATTAAGACTCCGAAACAAGACTTGAGAGCAGCAAAAATAAAAAAAAATGGAAACATCGAAAACTGAAATTTTTAAAATATTTTCGTCTAAGTTTTCCACTTCAACTTTGTAAAAAGGTCAATTGAAATAGGTTGAAAGGGCAAAAAAATTAGTTAATGTAATTAATTTCATCAAAATTGCAGTAGAACCAAACTGCGGAGATCAATTTTTTGAAAAAAATTTTGTCTTGTTTAGTCAAAAAAATTTTTAAAAAGTTTACAAAGAAAAAATAATAAGACTTGGAAATGTTTTCTCAACATTTAGAGAGCTTTTTTGAGTTTTTTATGTAGAAACTTGATAACGAATATTAATGCTTGAATTTGATATAACACATGACCGCAAGCTTTCTATGAAGAAGGCAGAATTGAACGCTAAATGCACCCAACGCCACAGTTTCTTCTACTCACCTACAAAGACGTGGTGGGGAAAAAAAATTCATTTCAATGCAGTTTTTTTAGCCAAATTTTTTCGATGTTTAGGCTACAACTATTCGCAGAATGGGAAACCTAACTTTTCCCTGGCAAGATTGAAAATTTTTTTTAGTGCGTTAGATTTTAGAAGCCTCAATGAAAAAAAAATAGAGTTTTGTCTAACAAATATTGAGTCATTTTGTCATTTTCAATTTTAATTTTTCCTTTGATATAGTCAGTTTAATTTCAACAAGACTGCTCGTATCAGGGCGAAGCCCTGAATGTTTTGACTGCTTTTTAAGGTTTTATTGAGCAGTAATCATATTAAAAAATTAAATGTAATGAAATAAAAAAAAAAATTTTTTTAATTGAAATTTTTTATGAAAATCATCACCCCACACGCCATTTAAAGTACAAAAAGATATATTTAGCTCCTTATAACATTCAATTATGGCAAATAAGCTTCTTTCAACCAATTTGGAACGGTTTTAAGACGGATTAACTTTCCGCTTACGCGTTAATAGCGCGAATTATATCGCGCGTTAATGTCCCAAATTGGTCAAAATGGCCAAAATGGCAATCTTTAAACCCTCATAACTTTACGAAAATTGATCACAGGTGAAATATTTTTTCAAATTTGAGCTCAGGACAACAATACCTTTTGAATGATATAAAAAAATGCCGTCAAAAATGGCTAGTTAAAAAGTCGAAATTTGTCTGAAGAAAAAAAAACCCACCCCGAGCACAAATATTCCGTTACTTTCGTATCGAAAGTCGGAACAATCAGCCGAGTTGTCTTTGGCTGAATTGATTTGTCTGTATTTGAAATCGGCTGAAATTTCTGTATCTGAGTTGTTTCTGCGCCAAAACTTTCAAAAGCATTGGCAGTGAATCTTCTTCAAAGTAATTTTCGGTCGTTTATAATAATAGAAACAATCCAAAATTTGGCTTTGAGAATCTCATAGTTATTAAACATCTAGGCTTTCATCGCAATAATATTATATCAAGCGAACTAAGTAACCAGAAAAATTGATAGGTTGGTTATACTTTTAATTGATTTTATGGAAGTGGCGCATCCTATTAACCCATCTTAACGCTTAATGCGCAAAATATGATTTTTTTTCGGAAGTTCAACCGAATAACTAGAATCATGCCAGTACAAATTTTATATGGTGACAACAATAAAATATATATTCAGATCAGAAAAAACTGAAGCTCACATGTTGTCTATCTCAGTTAAACTTTTTCTGCCATGACTCCAGATACCATGACACACCACAGCAAAAAAGTTACAACATGAGTGAAATTTTGAGAACCAAGAGTCATGCTCATTCAATTTTTAAAATAATTCACCTTATTTAAGCTTAAAAAAAGAAGGATTTATCCTACTATTTCGAAAACGGAGATTATCAGAAAATACAACAGAATTTTAAAAAAACGTATTGTTGTTTTTTGTTTCTGTCTCTTTTTTTAACTTTTTTTCAATAGTTACTGAGGTCCGAACTTTTTGCGCTACTTGTTTTTATTATTGGTAATCTCTCAAAACCTATGTTAATTAAGTTTAATTTTATGTTGTGAAACAAATTTGCAAGGGATTCGACCCCCTGCCAACCCCGTTTTTTAAGGGATTCGACCCCCTGCCAACTCAAAGGATATTTTGAGATATTCATTTTTGGTGACGGACCCTAAAGTTTTTCTAAAGGCGCCTTGGAATTTTGAGGGGGGAGCGCGCGGCAAAAAAAAACGCAATTTTTTGGTCAAAATTTTCTTAAAAGTGCCTAAACTTGCCTTTGGTTCAATTTTTTTTATAAAGTTTTGCTTGCAGTGCAAAAAATTTGGCCAAAACTGTCTTTTTACTTGTTTGGGAGAGCTCGGAAAATCAATTAAAAAGGGTCGACAAAATTTTTAAATTTTGTTTGAAAATCTGCCCCCTGGAGAAAATTCTAGATTCGCCCCTCCTGAGCTCATGAAAACTAAAATTGATTGAAGCCAAACTGCGTCATTTACAGATGTTTTTCAAATTTCGTATTTATTTTAGTGTTTTTTTTTTCTTCAGATTATCCAACTTAAGATTTTATAACTTACAGATTGGATAACAAGGTTGCCGCCTGATTCTGAGAGGTACGTATTGTCACTGAAGGTGAAGGTCAAGGTGTCTCCATCAAGGTCAGTGCATCCCAGGTCAATGGAGGTCACTAAAAGTTTAAACTCAATTCGTATCTGCAAGACATACTCTTTAATTTAAATTGATTAATCCTCCGCATCGAAAGCATTTTGTTTTCACTCATTATTTTTGAAATTTATGAGTGAAAACGTGATCATTCTCTTCCGTGATCATTTCATTTTTTCACT